TTTAGATAAAACTGTAAACTCGCTAAGTCTAAGAAGGTTGAAAATTGCTAAGTGAAGGCCAGAGTAAACAACGTTGTTTCATACAAGTTTGATAAACTGATGGGAGACATTTTGTTATGTGAATTATCAAAGATTAGCCTTCAAATATGTTTCTAACAATAAATTTTTCATAGTCTTGGTCTGAAAATGTATTTTGATATCATAGCTGATGGCGCTAATATAGCATCATACAGTGTATGGTTGATAAGCTGGTATACAAAAGGAGCCAAAGTTTGTGTAAGGAGTTGAAAGTACTGCATTCAATATAGAATCTACAAGTGGTTTAAGAGATTAAATAATTTCTTTGTTAACTGTGAAGGGCATTTTTCAGGCATAGTGCCAAGGATTTGAATGATCCCACTGAAATCAGGAAATAGACAAGAGACTGCAGTAACATTCTTGTAACCTAAACTATGTTCCCCTTTGATTTAAATGTTATTTATAAACATAACACTAATAATTTTAATTAACTATTAATGTCTTGAAAATCTACTAAACTGCAAATTTGAATTGAAATTTTGGTATCATTATTATTAATTATTATATTTATGTATTTATTTATTTATTTATTGTGATGTGTAATAAATATGGTTTGATTCGTAAGATTTTTATATAGACCAAGAAATGTCAAATAAGTGGTTGGGCCTTCAGTTTAAATCTGAATCTCCATTTTCTGAAATCTATGTAGCAAGGCTTTAGATAGATTCGCCCAATCTTACGAGTCCTTGGAACCCACAAAAAAAATTATTTAAGTAATTAATTATATTTGAAATTTTAATCTAATGGAGTATTGATGTTTACCTGACATTAGTTCATTACTATTACTTGATCAATAGAGGCACATAATTCCAGCATAATGCCATGCCAATGAAATCATTTACACTAGTACCTCGAGGGGCTTAAATTTATTTATTTATTTTTATTTATTTATTTATTTATTTATTTTAAGTTATTATTATTATTATTATTATTATTTATTTTTTTTTTTTTTTTTTTTTTTTTTCTTTTTTTTTTTTTGAATTGGGGGAATGCTGATTGGACTGTGTTGTTTGATTAGACATTTGCCTACTGGTTGGTGATGGGCAGCTTTTTATGTTTGAGCAACAATGAATTCGGGGGTTATTTTAATTGATGAGACATGCCTTTATTAATGTTTTAGTGTATATTATAATGTTTGTTGAGTTTGCATGCAATTTGACATGTACAATAAGAATAGCTCAGCATTTACTGAGCCCCGATATAAGGAATTTAATTCTGTTAACATTTTAGGACACTTAATTATATTCTAACCAACCCCTGTAGTATATCGTCAGGCCCCTAGTCTAATTACAGTGTATTAGCATATAGGCCTAATTGAGGATGCCTTGAATGTCAACTGAATGCCTCGTCAAAGAAACCATAACTAATATCAATAACGCATCAGACCACATTTAAATGGAAGTATTTTTCGTTGTAGTTTGCTTTGGCTGCATAATTTAACTGACCATCAACAATGGAGAATTTTTTGTTCATTTTAATGATCACTTTCTGACAGCACAGTTTATCAATCCTATGTATTCCTTAGTCTGCATTTTTTTTCAATTATTATTGCTGTGGGACGTGTACTGTCCAATCATGAGTAACACTTATTAATGATTGAGAGAGCTTCCCTTTTATGGAATGCATTGCCTTAGTTTGAGCAACATAAAAAGCATATATAACCCCTTCAATGGCAAGGATTTTAAGCATTTCTAGACAAATTGATATGAAGATTAAAATGCATTTTTCGGGGTATTTCTTGTAGTTATATATAAATCAATGACGTATATTCTGAAAACAGGTAGATCTACTGTGTTTTTTCTGAAAATTATAAAATTCATTTCAGTTGCCATGGCCACAAATTACACTATAACCGTGCTAGAATTTCTAATCATTAAATAATAAGTTTCATTCTTTTTTTTTTTTTTTTTTTTTTTTTTTTTATATATATATATATAGCTCAGTTAAATATATCAAAAAATATTAATATTTTATTGTTGTGTTGAAAATTATGAACATGTTGGGATGTAAACACCAGAATTTAGCATTTTTACAACTAAAATGTTATCCCTGCATTGATTTCGATAATGGCAAAAATGCTCGAGTAGTGTGCCAAGTTTTACTAAAGCTAGCAAAAATACTGGTGGTACATGTACAACCAATTTTTTTTTTTTTTTTTTTTTTTTTTTTAAACCCACTATACTTGTTTTTCAAGTCAGAAGCATAGAAATACATATATGCCATGCAAAAGGCATATTCATACAGAATGTATTTGTAAGACATAAAATTTATAGGCCTCATGTGAGGGAAAACATTGTAATATGCCGGTTGATCCCATATTGACCCGGCAATGAGTAATAAATTTTGAAAATTATATAAAAGTCACGATTACCTGACTGACTAGCAATGGCTGCCAAAACGAATAAGGAGTTAAATTCAATGATGAGCCAAGAGTTACAGATGATGCCTGCGATTCTGTAGAACGTCTGTTGCCATGGTTGCTGAATATGATGTTAATGCAGTTGTTAGGGGCCATATCCTATGCTGATACTTTAGCTGTGTATGCCCATGTAGTTCACACATAGAGTAATTAGATGGACCTTTAGGTATGGATCCATTTCCAAGTTCCACGTGTTTTCGTGTGGCTTCCAGTATTGTTTTGTTTTCTTGCAGTCTTGTTCTACTATGTTGTGATGTTTGTAAATTCTGAAGCATTCTTTCCCATTATATTCAATCATGATGCAACTCTTATGTTGTCATATTTTTCAATCAGAGCTGTGTATCTATTTCATAGTTCTCCCATTGTGTCTGTGACTGTATTTTTTTAATTACTTTTGAGATCTCCCCTGATTTCCATTTGGAAAATTTTATGCTGCCATGTTTTGATCACGTGATTTCTATTTTCTCTCCTGCACATGTGTGTGCCAGAAATATCTCTGCGGTCGGGGTTGTTTACTGTTATCGTGCTTGAAAATCAGTATGCCAGTATCAGAATATTTAGTTACAAGTCTGATGAAATTCACGGAAAGCCTGGAATATCAATGTTTTCATTACCAGAGTTAAAGATAAATCCTTTCCAATCAGTTCTTTGTTTGCAGTTCCCGCGTGTTTAACCTAACACGTTAGCATCACAAAACATCACGTAACATCACTGCGTGTACTCACATTTATCAAAAGAGTCATTTAGGCTTTCAAAACGCCTCGCATATCGCTTGTCCTCACTAAATGTCTGTGAATAAGTTATGATAACGAAATAAATCACTTGCGAATTCAATGCTGAGTTTCAATGGATGACAGAGATAGAAAAGGAAGAGTAAAATGCACATGCGTAATGGATGTAGCTAAGCAGTTATATACATTTGCATTAGAGTTATCTTTCCTGGACCATATTTCTATTTGTCTCCATAACGTGACTTAACTCATATTGAGTTAAGTCTGATTATTTAAATTAACTTATAATTTTTTTAATTTTTGAAATTATGAGAAAAAAAACTTTTCTCAGAGAGAAAAAAATCTCGAGAAAAATTTTCTTTCATAAAATTATTAGATGATATTCATGGGATTCGAACCCTAGCAATAAAAATCCGACGTATCAGTAGCATACTGCTTTGAGACTAACGCGTTAACCACTATGCTACACCACTCACGGTGATTTAAGGCATTTAAATCATGTTTGTGATATGACCCGCGACTTTATGGACTTGAAGTATTTCTCGGAAAGATGCTTATGTTGTGTCATAAAAGTGTACTTTTAAGGTATAGTGGGTCTTCTCTCCATGTTTTTGAAAAACAAAAAGTGTGTATTTTATTGCACACTTTTAGGATCATCTTTCAAAAAAATGGAGAGAAGACCCACCCATATTGAAAAATTTTGTTTAAGTATGAGAAAATGATCGATTTTGTTCTTTTTAGTGTGTGTAAGCTTTTTCATAGGCATATATATTTTCAGTCTTTGTGAGATTTTTGTAAATTGTAGAGATTTTACATAAAATATACTTTAATATTAGATGAAATATCAAGTAAAATTTGGATTCAAGTAGGATTAAAATTTTCACTTCTTATCTGTCCCACTATAGGCATTCTGCCCGCCTTATTCACCCATCTTCTTTTTAAAATATATTTTTTCTCGATAAATATTTTCTTAAATATTTCTTTTCAATTGATACTTTCTATTTGTGAAGAAATGATATATTTATAAAGTGTAAAAGTTTAAACTTTATGCCTCAAATTATTTTGGAGTTATTTCTATTTTAAAAATAATTTATTCTATACTGGCGAGTGAAACAAATGTGTTGTACGTATACATAACTAGGTTGGCTGGGGGTCAGTTTGTCTAGAAAATGTATTTGCTAAGTCCAGCTTGTCATATAAGAAAACAAAATATTTTCTTTCCCCCTTACAAGACGAGGAATAATCTATCGAAACTTAAGTGTAGACTATGAAATCTGTACAATACAAAGGCGGATCAAGGAGAAGAGGTGCGTCCCCCGGCAACACCCTCACCACCCTCAAGAGAGGGGTGTTAATGAATAGAATGAGTGGATAAAATTCTCATCATTTGAAATCAAGAGCAGTTTAAAAATTAATTACCTCAGAATACAAAAAAAAATCCATTTTGTACCTTTAATTGAATTTAAAATTTATGAAAACCATACGGGTATATGTACTGTTTGAATGTTTGAATTACATGACAGAAAATCAATCAACCAAATGGAAAAACACTGAATGTGAGATATTCATTTTTGATTTACTTGTAAATAAATGTATCTGGAAATAAAATTATACTTGAATGTAAATATGTATTCGTGAAAACATATTTTAGAACAAACTTTTGGAACTTGTCACCCTAGTGTACTGAATATTTAAAGTTGTAAATAGTATATTGTGATAAACATTAACTACATTTTAAGAGACATTGAAATAATTTGAACATGTATCTGCAGGAGAAACAGATGAACATGTGCACTGCTGCAGTCATCCTCAATTATCTTTTGACACTTTGTCTAGGTAAGTAAAAGGTTGTCATATTTCTTTTGAATTAATCATTGTCAAATGCCAAGAGAATAGACTTCTTTTACAAATATGTACGAGTATTGTATGCTAATTTAGAATTTGATTACAAGATTGATGCCGAAAAAAAAACATCTTTAAATTTAAAACCATTTGCCATTTATTAAGATTTTAACAAATATGTTACTTACTGTATGTAGACAAAATAGTTTTAAACTCAGCTCTTGTTTGTTTGAGATGCTAATACTCAACACATGAACATGTTTAATTATATAAAGCATCCTTAGAATAAGAATACACGACTAATCGTTGATTTTTTATAATTAAATACTATTGTACTAGTGTTTTTGATTTAAAATTAAAGCAAGTAAATTTTAATGTCTTAGTCTGATAAAAGGCCAATAAAGGAAATGCTTTTTATAATGCAAATATGTTGACATTATGAAAAGAATTTTAGTAAAGATGGACGGTTTCGATTAAGCATAAATAAAGTATTTATGCTTAAAATTCCATAGTGAAGACCTTGGGTCGAGTGCCATCTTACGGATAGGAAAAAAAGAAAATTGAAAATGAATCCGATAGCATGAAATTGATGTCTATTTGTTCAACTCATGTGATAAAAGTTTTATATATTAATAATCAATTGTTGGGTTTTAACAATTTTAAGACCCATTTCTAACCCTAATTTGAAAGTGACAACAAGCACTAGATTAACAAGTGGACCGTTAACAATCAGTTTTAACAAGGTGAAAATTCCTGTGAGGTTGCAAAGTTGAGTTTGGTCGATTTCTAAATGGAACAATATGTTTTAATGCCAAAATATTTCATACCTCATATATTTCGACAGTTAAATCGAAAATATTAATCAAAATTGATTAAAGTAGGTTTCAAATTTATTTGCTTTTGAAACATGTCTTAAAATGTACAAATATAAAAAGTACCAGTAAATAATAAGAAAATAGTTTAAACTTAACGATATGTTGTGACACGATAGCGGTGTTTTTCTTTGAAGTTTACTGTTCTGTATTAGCAATACAGAACGGGACTGTGGTGGGCGGAGCTACTTTCCGTTCTGTATTGGCCCTGTATACAGTATTGTATTTACCAACTACTGTAGTATTCTGTATCTAAAATACAGCACGGTCTAAAAATAAATCCGATTCAATTTAGCAAAAGCACGTACAAATAGTAAATGCTAATGTTTTCCTATTATAAATTTTGGAGAAATACCCGGTATTTTCCCGAGAATGTAAAATGTCAGAATTTCTCAATCACTTTTTAAAAACTTATTCCACACAGAAAATACACGTAATTTCGATCCAAAGTAAAAGGAAAATTCGCAATAACGGAAAACATCCTCTGTACGTAATTTCGATCCAAACGAAACGGAAAATTCGCAATAACGGAAAACATCCACTCTCCTTGTGCAAAATCATTCAAGTCCATTTTTTCCGCGTTTTTATTTTTTAAAATCCTTCTTGCTGACGACAGCCACACGTCTCTCAATGTCGCAATTCAATTTGAAAATAAAAATCCGTGACATCAAAGTCCATCGAAGAATTTTCTGTAAATCCTGTTTTTGTTAATCTAGATAAACCGGGATTTTAAGACCCCTCAGTGAAATAAATTTATGATAAATCTCCATCTTCAATTTAATAGATCACAACAATGACGGTTAAATCCTCCACCTTATCCATTAAGACTGACTATCGCTCGATTACGTCTACCCCGTTAAGTTGTCAAAACTAATCTGACCGAATTTTACGTTTTCCGTGAAAATATATATACTGCGGATGCGTACTCCCCGTCGGGGCCTCATCTACAGAACTCTGGCGGAAGTTTGGATGCTGCAAAGTTATAAAGTGGGCGGAGCTATTTTTGATTGATCGTGTCACAAATCATTTAGAGAACGAGACAGGTTCTGTATCGTAGATACAAATTTGAGGGTGGAGACTCGTGCTTGCGCACTCGTCTCCACCCCCAAATTTGTATCTACGATACAGAACCCGTCTCGTTCTCTAAATAATACTTACATGTATGTGTTTATTTTGCGACTCACATGACAGCAACTTGATATACTTCCAGTTTCAAAAAAATACAACATTTGTTCAATTTAAATTGTACGATGAGACAAATCTTATTTTTCAAAATAATTAATTTGAAAAGAATATTACTTTACCTTTCATATTTACGCATCACTTTCGTAAATTATTTTATATTACAAACTATAATATGTTATATTATAAACTAAAAAATATATGCAGTTATAAACTTGTGGTGAAGGTGTTATTTTAAAAATACGTACTAGTAATTATAATTTAAATAACTCTTATAGTTGAAATACGCACAAATGGATATATAAAAGCTATAAAGCGAAGAATTAAACATTTTCATTTTAGGATGCCAGGAAGCTTTTTACGATATTCCAGGACGGCGTTTTCACATAACTAAGGCCTACGACAGTTCTTCTCCAGGGACGTTATCGCATTGTCGACAGAGATGTATAGAGGATAAGAATTGCGTGGCTTTCATGCATTATAATACTACTGATTTATGTGCGCTGTCTAATTTGACTGGTCTGAAATTTGGCTATTTATGTGATTATTGTTTCTCTGCATTGAAAGTTGGCACATGTAGTACACGTAAGTAAAGACAATTTCTTTCTCATTTCACTCATTATATAAGAAATTTAAACTTTGTAGTATTATAAAATTAGATGAAAAGAACGCCTGTTTATACATTTCTTTGTCATTGTTGGTGGATACGTACTATAAGGTGGTGCCAAAGGTCAACATGCCCCCAAAAATATTTTTACAATACCTCCAAAACTTTGTAGTTTATAAAGTTAAAACTTTTACAGTTTATAAATATATAATTGATTAACCAATAGAAAGTATCACTTGATAACAAAATACTTAAATGAAATTATTTAAAGTATTGAGTAAAATTCTTACAAAAATGCATATATTTTACAAAATACGCCTAAGTACATCCGTTCTGAAGTAAAAGACATAAATGCAGAAATAAAATATGTTTATCAATGAAAGACAAGTTGGATTTCGATAGCCTCTGGAAAGATGTTCCCTTGTTTATTTTGTCCAAATGTTAAGACTTGTCGATACGATACATCGTTGTGAACTTGAGATAAAAGAAAGCACAGAATCTGATACATCTGTTTCATATTTGGATATTTTACTTGAAAAATACGTTAATGGTAATCTGACAACCAAGCTCTAGGATAAACGTGATAACTAACTTTTCTATCGTCAACCTCCCTTACTTACATGTATGCTGCAATATACTAGTACCTTCATCACCTGCATACGGAATTATACATCTCAGTTGATTCAATATGCAAGAGCATGCTCAATGACTAAAAAGAGGTTAATTATTGACCAACAAGTTAATGAAACAAGAATATCAGCCGTCTCGTATAAAGTCACCATTTCGTAATTTAGTTCTATGGTCGATACATTGACCATGTCAGCAAATACAATTTATCACTGAGTCAATTGTCGACTGACTTGTTTCATACTAGTTGTTAGTTGATTATTAATACACTGAATTCACGACGGATTGTTTCCCTTGTTTCCTGATCATGACAAAGAGCACAAGGAGGTTATGACCGGTCGACAGGGGATGTTAACCCCTCCATGGCACCTGGTCCCATCTCTGATGTTTTGGAGGTCCATGTTTGCTCTGCTCCTATTTTGTATTGTTTTATAGACTTCTGATCTAGAATAATCAAATGTTTCATAGAGCTATCGTGAAGCTGAGTTAATCATTTCTTTTTATTTACATTTTAGCAACCCCTGCTACGACAAATACGCCATCTACCCCAACACCTGAAAGTCCTTGTACCTGCACGTGTATGGAAACAAATGATACTTTGATGAGATCAATCGAGGAGCGAAGAACATCTCTACGACTAAACAAAACAGAACTGTCCTCCACAAAACGAAAACTCAGCTCAGCAGAAGACCAGAGGGTATCTGCCAAGAGATTAGGTTATGTTGGAATCCTAGTCATTACAATTTCTGTCGGTTTGTTTGTTTTCATTGATTTTCTTAACCTAATTACATTAAAAAAAAGAATCAAATGTCTTAAGAGAGGATGCTGTAAATAAGTTTGTCTTGCTATTCCTTGGGCATTTTTTGAAATCATTTCCTTGCATTCTTTCTATGTTATGCTCATGATAAAATGAAAATCACTCCCAAGTAGAATCGTGCGTTATCCTTCACTTTAAACCCCTCCCTAATAAAATCAAACTACACCAAATAAAATATGGAAATAATGAACAGTACTCAAGGTCATAAGTCCACATCAGAAGCAGATATTATTCGTACGTAGAATATGCTCTTGTGTACTGAATCAACTGAGACACATAAACTCGATATGTAGGTTGATAGGAGTATATTTCTACATAAGTTAGGGAAGCTGACGATTAAAAAATTCATGTTTATCAAAACTTTGTTATTATATTGTTATTACATTAATGTGTTTTTCTAATAAAATATTCAAATATGAAACTTTGTCAAACTCTTTCTCAAGTACTAGTAAGATTCTGAATAAATTCTGCTTCTAAGAATGAAGCATATGGAAATAATGAACAGTATTCAAGATCAAAAGTCAATAAAACAATACAAAATAGGAGCAGAGCAAACACGGACCACTAAACATAGGGATTGGGATCAGGTGCCATGGAGGAGTGAGCATCCCCTGCCGACCGGTCACAACCGCCATGAGCTCCTTGTCATGATCATGAAATAATGGGAACATCCGTCGTCAGTTCACTTTAATAGTGGACTAACAATTAGTATGAAAAACGTCATTCAGTTTAACTTTTAACTTATTATTTATTTTACTTAATGACAAATAGATTTGCTTCCAGTTTGTAAAAATCATTTGTTTCCATTTGTTGTAATTGCAGTCCTTGTTGTCGTAACTGATGCAGGATAACCTCCTCGGTCTCGAAATTTTGTTTGAATATAAAAGCCTTGGCTAATTCACGACCTCTGAGGTTATCCTGCAACATTCACGACAACGCGGACT